AGGCCTCCCATTCTGTAGTTGAAATTCGAACGGGGATGCAAAGGCTCTTTTCGAGCCTTGGCACCTGGACGTTTCGAGGCGGCTTGGCGGCGGGCAAGATTTCGAGCCTTGTTAGCCGTGCGTTTCGAAGCTTGGCGGCGGGCAAAAGGAAAAGACTGCTAGTTTCTTGTCCGTTCAGAAAGCATCGCGGCTTGGCGGCGGGCAAGTTTTCGAGCTTTGCTAGCTGTGCGTTTCTGTTCTTGTCTTGTTTTTCTTCTTCTTCTTCTTTTTCTTCTTCTTTTTCTTCTTCTTCTTCTTCTTGTTCTTCTTCTTCTTCGTCTTCTTCTTCTTCTTCTCTTTCTTCTTCTTCTTCTTCTTCTTCTTCTTCTTCTTGTTCTTGTTTCTATTGTTCTTCTTGTTCTTCTTGTTCTTCTTGTTGTTCTTGTTGTTCTTGTTCTTCTTGTTCTTCTTGTTCTTCTTGTTGTTGTGGTCTTTCTGTCCTCCTCCCTTTCCAACCCTGCGATCTTCGAAACTGATCTGCTGATCCACCGGAACGCACCAGCACCCAGGGTATCCGCACCCGCGAAGGCCACGGCCCCGGAAAGCACGTGCAAATCCGCTTCAGACATCGCTGGGTTATGTGTGTATATGTATATATATATATATGTATGTATGTATGTATGTATGTATGTATGTATGTATGTATGTATGTATGTATGTATGTATGTATGTAAATAATATATGTAAATAATATATGTATATAGTATATGTATTATATATATATATGTATTATATATATATATATATGTATTATATATATATGTATTATATATATATGTATTATATATATATAAGTATAAGGACATGATGGAAATTGATGGAAATTGATGGACATTGATGGAAGATGTACAATCTAGGCCTCTGGGATCTCCACATCCACCCCTGAGCACAGGCGTTAGTGACCGAATCGACCGAATCGACTGAATTGACCCGGCCACATCACACTGAGATACACTGAGGCTAGTGCCCCTACTGGAAGCCGCCATGAAGCTGTACACGGTGGCACTATGTGGCACTTGAAGACTTGGGCCACTTGTGGCACTTGCTTTAAAGCGGGAGTCCGAGTTCTGTGTTGGCGGATGTTGCTGGTGGCAGTTTGCATTCTTGAAATGTCTTGAAATGTATTGAAATATATTGAATGCAGTTGAATTTCGTCTTGCAAAATCTCACCTGTCGCCCTCAAGTCGCAACTGTAGCGCTTGCTGCTGGACATTGTCCGTGCATTAGGAGCATCGAAGCTGCAGAGCATTCATCGGCAAATGCTGACTTGGTCTAACTTGGTCTGACTAGCAATCAAGCGGATTTAGTTTGCAAAGCCGATTTAAGCGAAATACATCCGCCAGAGCCGCATGAACTCAACTCGGCAAGGGACCCCTGATTTCAAGGGCTTGGTCATAGAGGGTTCTGAGAGCCAGGACTGTATTGCGAGAGTCTGTGAAAATGAGCACACTCAAGAGAGCTTGGAGAGCACGGAGAGCACGCAGCGTAAGTTTGGGATGAATTTGCGTGGCTGCAGGACGCGACGTCACGCGTTTTGCAGTCTGAAACATTGCTGCTGGAGTCGGCAAATGTTGCCGTACTGAACTCTCGGAGACTCTGAGAGCTGTCCAGGACTTTTGCAGTTGAACTGGCTTGCTTGCATTTGTTTGCATTGGTTTGCATTTGTTTGCATTTGTTCGTTGGAATTTGAGTGGGGCGACACTTCGAATGTAGTAGGGCACAGTTTTCATGTGTTCTCATGGCAGGTGCATTGCTGGGACATGTCTTGGTCCAAATTTCAACAGGGTCCCCTATATAACTTTCCCCTGACTTGGTGCACGAGCAAGTCGGGTGCCAAAGCTTCCATGAAGTCTGTTCGCCCCAACGCGTCTGCTGCAACCCGCATGTTCTCAGAAAGTCCCAGATCCCCTGCCCTTCCAATGCAAAGAAAGGTGTTTGCTGGAAAAATACGAAACAATGCTTGCAAATCCTTTTACGTGGCTTCCTTCAGGAATGCGGTGAGCTTTCATGCAAAGTGAACAGTTCAATCACCAAAGGTGCGAATCTTCACCGGAAACAGCCATGCAATCTTCTCAAGGTAGCTCAGAGATGCTCAAAGTACTGCGCCTCCCTTGCCACACCGCGGCGGGCTGAGTCAACTTTTTGATTACATCATATTACATCCCTCTGTTGGCTACGTAGCTGAGATTTCCAGATTGTTGCGAAGCGATGTCAAGCAGCCATCCTGACAAATGGATACAAATGGTTACAAAATAGTTTAATTACCACAGTTGGATCCTGCTCGGCTGGCATCTTCATGCCCATTCCAGGGCCATATATGAAACAACCCAGTGTGGAAGTGGTGGAATTGCTGACCCCTGAAAAATCCAATCCCTCCACGAGGGACCCTGCAAGCGAGGTTATTTTCTTCCTGGCTTCAAGGAAGCGGATCAAAATTGATTAGTGTGATGAGTCCCAAGGAGGTTGGAAGATGTTGGAAGTTTCCCACGCTGAAAGCATGGCCCAAGAGGCTGCTGTTTGGATCCTGTAGGCCTAGAAGACCCTCGACGCTCCTCGCAGAGTCAGATTCTGAATGCTCCGGTTATACGATATGAGCTTGGAACCCTTGCTGAGGTCCAGAAAGTTGGGAGCAAATGCTTTGCGAGCGTTGCACATGCCACCAGTGCGAAAAGCTACACAGTATATTATACGTAGTACAACCTTTCAATACAGTCTGCATGTATCAACATATCCATCTCAGAACAGCTGCTGTGAGGGTACCAGTACTAGCCAGCATGAGCTTTCTTTCCAATTACTTGCGGCCACATGCCGAAGCTCCTCAAGCTGCTCAAGCAATTGTGATCTGTACAGCTATATACCAAAGCTTGCGCGCAACGCTCACTTGGCGACTGAGAAAACTGTGGCCTTCATTTCGTCCTAGCACGCACGTCAATTTTGGAAACTGCGTCCCTGGAGTCACTGTCATGGTGTGTTTGTGTGTGTGTGTTCCATCAGCTTTGATGGGGCCTCAAATGACAGTTGGTTGCGGTTCGCACGCCCCGTGACAAGGATCCTGGCAACCGTAAACAAAGCCACAAGAAACAAACTGTGTATGAGAGTTGTTCGGCTGACTGCATTGAAGGCAAGACGAGAGCACTGATTTTCGTCATCTTTGTTGATAGCTGCCCATACCTTTGCCAACGGCTTGCTTGGGGTTGAACAAACTTGCATGTGTAAACACGCATGATGTGTACGCTCACAATAACTTTGTAAATCCAAATCATACCTACAAATGGCTGCATACGTAGTCTTAGGTGCTGTACCTCACAACAATGCGAAAAATCGGTGTGCATTCTACCATACCCCTCTATAAACGATCATACAAACCCCCTGAACCAAAGTTTACCCAGCATTTAGTACCGAGTGTATTTTCAGCACATGCAAACTATCACAATGAAGATCACACAAGTACATGCTCGAAAGACCCACTTGGCCAATTCGAAGCCTGCACGAAAGGGAGTACACTCAGCAAGGTTGCAGGCATCAGGAGAGCATAACCTCGGACGACGGGATCTGAAACCCGACAAGTAAAAAGATGTCAAAAGCTTTGTTGCATTGAACTGACATGAGCTGACCATACTGACCAGCCTGCATAGACAAAGGGTACGCCCGGGTCGTTCTTGACCTCATGGTCAAAGGGTGGAGAAAGCTGGTGAGACATGCTGGCGCTGCATGCTGGCATGATGCGCTGGCACAATATGCTGACAACCTTGCCACATGCTCGCTTGTCAGAAGCTTAGCTTTATGCGATAAGACCAGTTGCACCAACAATCCTGTCCAAACGCAGCTTGTTGTTGCCCTCGACAGTGATTTCCTGACTCATCTGACTCAACGCACTTCTTTCATAGAAAACAGATGGACCGAATCAAGAATCCCAGCCTGGCCAAACTGGATTGGCATCCCTTCTAGGGATTCCTCAACCTGACAACAAAAAAAAGGAATGGAAAGACATAACAAAAAAACACTTGATCAAGCTGCCATTCACGCATGGATTGAAAATGTTGAGATGTCATCGTTCATCTCGTTGAAATGCAAATCATCATCATCATCATCATCATCACCATCGTCATCATCATCATCATCACCATCATCATCATCATCGGGATGGAGCAAACCTGCGGTCCTGGTGCAGTCGTCAAAGTCTGCGAGCCTTGGCCAGAGGAGATCGAAGCACTCCAGCAAGGGTCTGGTCAGAACCATAGACCTCCACAGCTTCGCACAACTTCGCACAGCTTTGCACAGTACATTCGCTGCACAGCTTTGAGCGTATTGAAATGCATTGAAGCATATTGAAGCTTCATTTTGCTGACTGTACGATACTGCACGTCAAGCGGCGCATGAGATTGTACGTCCTGCCTGTACATTCCGCATGTTGTTCACGATGAAAACAATGCCTTGGAGCTTGACTCCACCCCAAGCGCTCAAGCACTCGCAGACAGGACTGGCATCATGACATGTCATGGAATTCACATCTTCCACGAGTTGAGAACCTTCTTTGGGCTTTGCAATCTCCTTTACTGTCGACGGATCCTGAATGACACTTCCAGAGCATTGGAAAGTCTATGATCATCGAAGCATCAAGTACTATACCAACCTGTTGGGTATCAAGCCTGAGCTAGTTCGGGATTCAGTTGCTGAAAGAGTCGTCTGTTCTACTTTTTAGTGTCATACAGTAGTCATACAGTCATACAAAACCGTGCAATTAATCACTTTGGAAGAATCGCCTTGGCTGTCACCAACTCAAGCGGCAGGAAGGCAGCCCACCTCAAGCACTGAACACAAATCAAGGCGACCTAGGCCAACTAGGCCAACTAGGGACTCATTGAAACTCGTCCTCAAACATGTCAGGAGGGCGACCGTTCTCCTCCATCTGCCGGTATGGCTTTGCAAGGAACAACAACAGGCAATCCATTCACAAACCTGGCCAGAATAAGCGGAGAGGCCTTGAGAGGCCACATGTCCTTGTGAAAGGCCCCAAGATCCCCAAGCTACAAACGTGCAAGACACACAGCTGCAACCTGTCGATGGCCCAGTCAGCTTGGTAGATCCTGGAGTTGTGACGTCGACACCAAACAGATTAGATCAAGTTTTATCGGATTCAGTCGGATTCATGAATCATTGATGCAACAAAGCGCTGAACAAAAAAGTCATAGGGCACGCAGCTTTGTGCTGTGATGATTCCTCTCAATTCTTGTTGTTCCCCACCTGCCAGGTGAGGGCTGCTAGATTTTATCAGAGCTGTTCTCCTCCTCCTCCGCCTCCGCCTCCTCCGCCTTCACCTCCGCCTCCTCCGCCTCCTCACCCGCCGCCTCCTCCTCGCAGTCCAGATCCCAGTGGGCACAGCCGGACCTCCACCGCGAGCTCCAGATCCCAGTGGGCACTGCCGGACCTCAACTGCATGCGAGCTCCAGATCCCAGTGGGCACTGCCGGACCTCAACTGCGAGTTGCAGCAGTGGGCACTGCCGGACCTCAACCGGGACTTCCAGGTCGCAGTGGGCACTGCCGGACCTCAACCGCGAGCTCCAGATCCCAGTGGGCACTGCCGGACCTCAACCACGAGCTCCAGATCCCAGTGTGCACTGCCGGACCTCACCGGTCAGATAGAATGGCAGAAGAAATGCCAGATGGAATGTCAGATAGAATGCAGAAGATATGTCAGATAGAATGCCAGAAGATATGCCAGATAGAATGCCAGAAGATATGTCAGATAGAATGCCAGAAGATATGCCAGAGCCTCCTCCGCCTCCTCCTCGCAGTCCAGATCCCAGTGGGCACAGCCGGACCTCCACCGCGAGCTCCAGATCCCAGTGGGCACTGCCGGACCTCAACCGCGACTTGCAGATCGCAGTGGGCACTGGCGGACCTCAACCGGGACTTCCAGGTCGCAGTGGGCACTGCCGGACCTCAACCGCGAGCTCCAGATCCCAGTGTGCACTGCCGGACCTCAACCACGAGCTCCAGATCCCAGTGTGCACTGCCGGACCTCAACGGCCAGATAGAATGCCAGAAGATATGCCAGATGGAATGTCAGATAGAATGCCAGAAGATATGTCAGATAGAATGCCAGAAGATATGCCAGATAGAATGCCAGAAGATATGTCAGATAGAATGCCAGAAGATATGCCAGATAGAATGCCAGAAGATTTGCCAGATAGAATGCCAGAAGATTTGCCAGTAAGAAAATGTATAAATGCCATGGTGGGGATCACACGAAGTAAAGTAATTTGATATGTGGGTGTGTGCCAGCGGTAAAAAGCAGCTGAAGTCCCTGAAACTTCAAACTTGCCGGGAAGTCGTTGCCCCACCGTAGCGCAATGGTTTGTTCACATATATTTCATCACCTCAAGCGATGGAAAAGAAACAGCCAAACAGGTACAGTATCTCCAACATTCTCCAACTATGATGCCACTGGTATGCGACTGTAAATCCCTGTACCTGTTTGGTCAAGGCTCTGTACATTTCTTTTTGCGTGTTCTCATCTTCTATGGCAAGCTTGGAGTAGAATTGATCAATGTTCCCGTCGTCCTTGTACCTCAGAGGATACGCTCCTTACAATCTCCTTACACGATCTTATCAAAGTGAAGACATGTCCAAAAGATTCCAAAAGGCTTTCTGCAGACTGCAGCTTAGCGACTCGATCCGGAAGTCATCCACTCTGACAAAAACAGAATCCAGGAGTCCTTTGTTTGGACTGAGAACTGCCAGGGGACCCTTGATTCTCCGACCGGCATCCAGTACCTTTCCAATGTCTGCATAGCCACCGTCACCAACCAGCACTTCGCTGGATGATCCAAACACAAGTCCCACCGTGTTTCCAAGCAAAGTCAGTAGCAGGGCAAGGTGCACTGCCATCGGAGCAAACTTTCCAAGAAGACCACGAGATGCTGCCAATTGAGTAGGGTTGATATCATCATCGGCACGTACGATGAATCCCTTGTTTTTCAACTCTGTCCGAAGTTGTTGCAATCGCTCAGCTGATCCTGGTACCTGCACGCCATCTCCAAGCGCTGGACAATTCATGCGCATCAGAAAAGTACCTCTTCTCTTCATTGCAGCGGATGAGTGAAAGGTGAATCGCTGCGCTCTTTTTGCCAGCGGCAGCTGAGTGGTTCCAGTGCAAGCGATGAGTGACGCAGCCAGCCAGGCCAACAACCCAAGAAAAAGTGGGCAGCTGTACATATGATCAAAACCAAGCATTAGAATGATGCCTGATGACTCGGGATATTTTTGGGCGTAGAAGGCAGGGGCTTCACCTTGCTCGATCAATGTGCCAAGGGCCGAAAGCCCTGCAACAACGAACATCTGCACCAGAGAGGCAGCAAAACTGGCCCAAGCTCCGCTGCCTAAAATTGGCTTCAGTGGCGTTGGCAAGTCCAAGCTCAACAGCCACTCTTCAATGGCTTCAGTGGCGTTGCCTGGGGTTTCTGCATCACCTGGTTTGGCCAGCGTTCCCTCACGTACAATTTGGCTCCGTATGCATGAACTTCTCCGTGCCCTCCAAGTGGCCAAAGACACCGCTGCAAAGGAGCCCATCATGATGTGATTAGACCAGGACCGACTGCATCGACTGCTTAGACTACTTCGACTACTTGTGCTTCCACCCGAGGCTACAACAGACGCAGGCATCGGGGCACCGACTTGTTGCGCTCGAGTATCCCGAGCACGTATCCCCAAGGGTCGCAGCTGCAGAGGCATCATGCTTGCCATGCTTATCGCATCAAAAACAATGCCAAGTACGATTTGTTCATCAAGGTCAGAATATGACGTGCGCATGTTCTCTGTGTTTGTGTGCGTCGGAGCACGTGCATGCTTTCCTGTTGCGTTCGCTCTTGAAGTGTTGTCTGCGTGCTCCACAACATGCTTGAACAAAGCTTTCCACAACCAATATGTACATCAAAATGCCTTCTCAGTTTCTTCGCTGCAAGAGAATAACTGTGTTGAATTTGTAAACAAAATTCAACATGGTCTGACTGCATTTTCCTCGTGCGCAATTATTTTTGTCGGGCCTAACATTGATGGTCTAGAGTTCAGAGTTTAGAGGGCAATTCAATGTCTACAATCTAAAGCAGCTCTGCTGCTTGTCTTGGCAGCACCAATCTACGAGAGTTGTGCACAGTTTTGGCAGCACTCACAGAGCGACAGCACTGCCACAGCAGTTTCGCTGTCAACTCGGTTGCAGTTGAATCGTGTCTCTGCTGAAGCTTTCTCAAGCAAATGTTTTGGCAAGTGAAAACATCTTCACTGGCAATGTCGTAGAAATGAATGGTCTTGGGATGTCCCGGGTACAATCGTGGAGTTTGAAACTCTCAAAATATGTAAATCGGACATTGCCCCGTACTGCAATGTCAACAGGTAAGCTTGTCCTGCACAAGCTAACCCAAATGTTGCTCAGACACTTCACTTGGCCCACCTGATCATAAGTAGGTGGTCCGCCAATACAAAAGATTAATCGATGGCAATAGAAATTCGGGTGAAATCTGGTTCCTTTATGTTGCAAGTCATGCATTTGTTTAAGGGATATTGAATGTTGTTGGCTTCAAAACATCATGTACAGTAGCATCCAAACACTTCAATTTCCTTAGCTAAGCTTGTGGCTGGATTTACGCAAAATCCAAGTGCGCGGGATGAATGCGAAGTCGCACAGGCCCTCAGCGGAACAGCAATGCGCGCGCGAAACTGTTGCGCTTCTCGCCTCCACTGAGATGGCAGCCCATAAGATCTTGAATCCTTGGGACTGGCTCACTTGATTTACCCGGCAGTGTCACTCACCCAACACCCAGTTTCGAAGCTTTTCGCGGAACCAACCAAGGTGGCAGCTGGACAACTACACAGCCAGTTCCGTCGTTCTCCATTTCCACAATGCCAACCTGTTGACACAAACGTACAGTAATTATCTTGACGGGTGTACGTGCTGCATGCTCAACCAGCCTTACCACCCTGCGATGATAGCGATGGTTTTACTCGCACTCTGTCTCCAGGCCTTCACTGCGAAACTCCGCACTGGAAGCAGTATGCCAAGCATGCTAAGTCACCTCTAAGTCTTCTAACTATGCCACAGTATGCCTTTCTTGATAGAAAATGATAGAAACGTATAGAGAAACATATAGAGACTACGACCAGTACGTCAAAAATAAGCAGCTGATTTAGTGAGTTTGGCGGTTCCGCAGTTCAACTTCCTTTGCATGAGGATCCCGCTGTACTGCCAAAGGTGCTGCAACTCCTGGTCCTGGCATGCTTCCAGCTTGCACAGGAGGCACGGCTGCGGCCTACACAAGAAGCACGAGATCCCAGAAGCAGAAACGGACATCAAAGATCATCAAAAATCAAAAACATCACATGCGAAGCTCCAAAATTTGTCGGGCCTGGCGTGCCGCATTGACTTGAGCCTGCGAGGCTGCCATAGCTTCTGCTGTCCCAGCCGCTGGCGTGCCATCCTAATAGGTAGAATCTCCAAAGCGAAGAGACAGACTTTGAACCCATACACATTTCCAGTGTAACACTGATATTGATCGTATTGATTGACATGTGACCAAGCTTTCCAATGATAGTACAGCCTCATTCGCTGCTTGCGACTGACTCATTACCAAGCTTTCCAATGATAGTACAGCCTCATTAGCTGCTTGCAACTCATTACTGGCGTTTGGAATTCAGGACCACACCATATTTTGAACATGCGTAGGGCTCAGCACCAACATGTTGACCTGATGCGTCGAAGTATGTGATTTAGAAGTTGTTGGACTGTTGGACCACTCAGAGATCAAAGTCTCCAATACATGCCAGGACATCCTGTCCAAAGGGGTCCTGCAGAACAAACACAGTTGCCATTGTTTTCCCTTGGTCCTTTTTTTATATGTTTTCATTGAAGTTGTCTTTCTTTTTTCTCCGGTACGCGAAAACTTGCCTGGAGTCTCACCCGCAGAGAGCCATCTCCCGTGTTGGGCACCTCCACCACTGCAACCTGCAAAACATCTGCAAAGCTCAACCAAGCAGGTATTCCAGTATTCCCTTCATGCAGTCCTGCAGAAAGCAAAAATTGTTGGAGGTTCTTTTCGGGTTGCAAGACCAGTAGCAAAATTGAAACATTGAATCTTCAGATCAAACTTCAACATATTCAACGCTCTACATTCAAAATGGTGGTAAAGTAAGAGCACTCCTTTTCACTTTGGTGCCTTTCCCCGGTGCTGAGGAGGCGCCAAAACTCTGACCTTGCAAAGGGGGGCTGGCTCAAAGCTCTTCACAACTGTTCAGCGCAGGGAAAATGAAACGGCCGTCAATCCACTTTTCTCTGCAGGGAATGCTTGGGTCCGTACCATGTCACCAATATGAAGTCCACCTTCGCCCTGCGTCTAAGTCCAACGTCCACCCATTGAATCTTGACACCCACTGCTCACGGTTTCACAGCCCCAGTTAATCGGACCAGTCCAGCCCTTTGTCCATCCTTTCTTAGCCTTGCAAGAAAGTTGTGTACGTTGGCATGCATCTCTGTATAGTTAGGGAGAGTGAGGATCTCTCTTTAGTTCTCTCTATTCCTCTCTATTTTGCTAAAGCCGCTTCGGCCTTTCACTTTTTTGTTAGTGGTGCGGCGCCTGGACTCCCTGTCTCTCAGGGACAACAGGTGGCTGCTCCTGGTTCAAGCAATGGTATGTGGCGGTGGGCTAGTTTCTACATTTCAAGAGAGTGCAGCATAGTACAGTTTCACTTTTTGTATTTGACAAAAATGTCCTTGGCTCTCTCGACTAGCTCCAAATACCTGAAGGGCATTGCTTTGTGTACAGTTCTGTCGCTGAGGCTTAGATCTACACCAAATGGTAAATTATTTGATTTGGAGACTCTAACGCATTTCTCAAATGAAGCTGAGATTGCTCACGTTGGTCCAACTTCCAGCATATCATTGCTATCCAAGAATTTCACCCGTAGCAAGCGACGCCTTGCAGGCAAAAGAGTGCTCTCCGAAGACGGTCAATAAACCATACACATTTCACGCACATTTCATGCACATCTGATATGCCCTTAGCTTCTTATTAAGTTGAACATGTAAAGGTCACTGCAAAAGTGCACGGTTTGAATTAGACAAAAGAAACGTGCAGTAGCGCTCCTCACATCCACAGACTCCACGCTACACATCCTGCTAGTGGAATGACCAATTGGACCAATCCGCCCAAGCAACAAAACAAACTCAAATTTGCAACAAGTTGAGTTGATACATTTTCAAAACAGATAGTAAGTAAAACCTAACAGTGTAAATTTCTGTCAAAAAAATGGAAACTCACCAATCAAGTACTGCATGTCTCTGCAACCCTTTTGGAATCTTTTTTTGGGAGTTGGAAAGGAACCTTTCCAGGCCGCAACACTAGGGAACTACTTGAGAACCCGAAGCTGGAACCCGGCAGTGCCGCCAGAAGCTGCCCAAGAACTTTGTCCGGAACCTTCCTGAACTGCTACCCTAAATTTCCCCGCAGGAACCTTCCCAGAACCCTGTCGAACCCGCCCCGAGACAAAGAGCGTTGTGGAATGTTGCGGACACTATCTGATGGAATGAAGCTTAGAAGTCAAACTTCCGACTTATGGACAGATGCCGCAACGACGAAGAGCGCAGTCAGAGAAGAAAAAGAGGCACAAGAGAAAGAGTCAATAGAAAGAATATCAAGGCGCGCGAAAAGGTAGAAGGTGTCGAAACACTGTGTTCTCCCAATGTTTTGAGGCTCCGGAGGATCGAAAAGCAGGCTCACTAAAGCGGCGGGTGCGGGACCATCTGGTCGGATGAGAGATCAAAATTTGCATGCGGCTGCGGCACGAAGCACATTTGGAAGTCAAAATTGTAAGAACACCTCAGGTTCGGACTGTCTTTGTACGTTGAGATGTCGAAAAAGTGTACTCCGCTGTGGCCCGAAACACATGTTGAAGTGAAAACGTGCAAAGCACACTATTGTCGGAGCACTTTTGGAAGTTCAGTTGTTGAAAAAGTGTACGGGGTTTGTGGCGCGAAGCACATTTCGAAACCAAAATGTTGAAAACACCTCCTTATCGGAGCAGTTTTTTGGATGTTGAGATGATGGAAAAGCGCACGCCGTTGCGCGCGAAGCACATGTCCAAGTCAAAAGTGCCAAAAACGGACGGTCTCGGGCCTCTTTTGGACGTTGAGATGCCGAAAACGTGCACAGCGTTGTAGCCCGAAGCCGAAGCTCCGAAGCACATTTCGAAGTCAAAATGGTAAAAAACACGCCGCGTTCGCACCACGCCGTTCAAATGTTAGTTTTCGTGGCACGCGCAATGAGTTCTGCACCTTGTCAAAAGTGAGCAAAATACTTGGGTTTTGCGACAATTCAAAAACGATGGCAGGCGCGGGGCGTTTGAAAACCATCTGCCAAGATGCTTCGCGTGGCGGGTGCGGTACAAGAGACATCTCATCAGATATGTTAGGAGGTGAGGGAGCAGATTTCCTGAGAAGGGCTGCATTTTGGAGCATCAGATCTTCAGGTTTGCTAAGATGATGTGCGTGACATGCGCAGCACTTCGTATGACCTGGCGCTACTTTTTCTGGGGAAGCGCAATACTTTAGGCACATGGAGTGGAAAAATCGCAAAGCGCATTGGCAAAAGGCCGTCAGCTCTGCACCCAACTTTCCATTTTGAAGAAAAATGCTTCATTATGCTTCGCTTTTGTCAAATTCACCCGCTTGAAAGTTTCACAGAAATTCTTCGTTTCGGAGCTCAGATTTTTTTGGTAAGAAAGTCTTGCAGAATTGCTTCGTTTTGGACATCTCGCATAATTGCTTCCCTTCAGACAGATAGATAGATAGATAGATGGATGGATAGATAGATAGATAGCTAGATAGATAGATAGATACATAGATAGATACATAGATAGATAGATAGATAGATACATACATACATACATACATAGGTAGATAGAGGATGGAATGATGGATGCATGGATGGATGGATGGACGGACGGACGGATGGATGGATGGATGGTTAGATAGCTAGATAGTTAGATAGTTTGATAGTTAGATAGTTAGATAGTTTGATAGTTAGATAGTTAGATAGTTAGATAGTTAGATAGATGAAAGAAAGAAAGAAAGAAAGAAAGAAAGACAGAAAGAAAGAAAGAAAGATGGATAGATGGATAGATAGATAGATAGATAGATAGAAAGGTAGATATGTAGATATG